AGAGCGGTACTACCGCTCGAGCGGTACTGCCGCGGTTGCGTCACGGTACTACCACTGGATGCCCAATTCCATCATTTTCCTACCACTTTTTAATACATGTTGTTTTGATTGGAGGCTTATGCTCTTTCTTTCGTGTTGTTTCTTCTGCTCGTGTGTTTGGTTCCAGGTGATGAACATCCTGAGCAGCAAGTCCGCCGTGTCAACCCCGGACGTTCAACATAAAAGCGCTACCGCACCTTTGAGACAACGGGTGCTTCCTCAAGTGCTCCACCTCCGCCTCAACTCAAGAAGAAGCCTGCCAACAAGCCGAAGCCGAGGGGCAAGACTGTGACTGAGATGACTGCTAAGGAATTCTGGGAAAGGCGTCACCACAACCCCTATGCGGAAGACCAAGAACCCACTTTGGTCAACCGTCCGTTCTGGAACCGCTTTCAATTTGCCATCTTCTTTGATGTGATCAAGGCTAAGAAGAATCTCTATGTTGATGTATGTTCCGTCGACACTGATGCTATGGAAAAGGACCCTGAGTACTTTGGCGAAGCCCTTCAGATGTGCTCTCAGCTGAACATTCTCAGGATCATGCAGTTCAACAAGGACTTTGATGCAGATTTGGTGGCTCAATTCTTTGCCACTGTCCATCTTGGAACTGATGAAGAAAGGACTCTGACTTGGATGACAAATGGAAAGTTGCTTTCTGTCAAGTGGAAGGCCTTCATGGAGTTACTTGGGGTGGAAGATCACGGGCTTGAGACTCCAGTCGGCTTCCGCCCTCACCGCAATGAAACCTCCACTCACAAGCAAGCCCTCTGGCCCTACTGCATTGTGAAGATTCACCCCGTGACTGAGAAGGAGACCTATGAGTTGCCTGCCTTTCTGGACATCCTTCATCGCATTTTTCGCGAGACTCTCTTCCCTCGTATCGGGAATCTGGATATGGTCCACTCCTATCTCGTGGACATACTTTTCTTCTGCCAGCATGAGAAGGAAGCAAACACTGACGAGTCCTTGGACATTTCCATGTCATGTGGTCTGAACTTCTCTCTGCCGTTTCTGAGCACACGTGCCCGATCTATGGCCCGTTTATCATGTTGCTCATTGAGAAGGCCTGGGCACATGTCTATCCCAGGGTTATGCTGGAAACTGGAGAATTGGTTTCTCATGAGATCAAGCGTCTGAGGAAGAAGGACAACCGGGGCACCACGACTCCTAAATCTGGGGTTCCGTCTAATGCTGCTGACATGGAGACCGAGGGCGAGGCTGAGGCCGATGATGATGAGGACTATGAGCCCTCCGGAGTGGAGCCCTCTTGGGCGAAGAAGATTAAGCGCAAGACGAAGAAACTTTTCTGCATGGAGTCTCATGGCCAGTATATGTCTCATGTCTCTGAGAAGAAGGCTCGGAGTCGTCACAAGGAGCTCATGCGTCAGTTGGGTGCAACTTTTAACAACAGATCTAAGGGAAGGATCACTGATGAGGAGGAGTGGGTTCCGCAGCACTGCCCGTGGACCGATTCAGACAGCGAGCAGTTTCGTCCTACCAATGACGGCGGTGCAAACGATCCCGCTGGGATGTGATGCTCAAGATCCTCAGTTTGCTACCACCTGGAGCCGTAGCAACACTCTTTGCCTTTTTGGTGTCTCGATGCCAAAGGGGGAGAGAGTCCAGGGATTTGTGTCGTTGCCAGGTTGTGCCTTTGTGGTTTGTTGTGTCGTTGCCGAGTTGTGTCTTTTCTCTCGTCGTTTGCTTTGTTGGTTTTGTGCCTGTGAGACCTAGTTCCAGTTCATATGGTGTGAGACATATGCTACCTTATCCATTATTATCTATGTCCATCAAGTACTTTGGTATTTTGTGAGTTGCATGCTTATCCGGTTATATACCTTGCTCACATGTACCCTTCTGCATTTAAGCCACGTTTACTTGTTGCTTATGTTGTAGGACTATAAAATATAGGGGGAGTGTTGATCCTAATGTGTGTGCCTTGCATTCCAAAGGCACCACTAATTAGGTGCACACATTCAGGGGGAGCCCGTCTATATTTTGTAGTTCTAAGTTTATCTTTACTTTCTTGTCCTATCTTTGTGCAAATCCCTGGTTGTCATCAATCCACCAAAAAGGGGGAGATCGTTAAGAGCTTGATGATTGATGACAACACGTTTGCGGACTAATCGTGTGCTATGAGCATTTCAGAGATTCATCCTTTGGCACGAGACGATTCTTTCCCCTCGGAGTTTAAATCAAAGACGGTGTAGCTCTTTCGTTTCTGTTTTGGTGGACTGGTTTCGTAGGAGTCACCGTACTATCAAGAGGGGATCCACTTTGGTAAGGCTAGGGTGGAATCAACACGTACACATTCTCTTCACACCCTCTGAGCCTTCCCGCTTCGATGGAGCTTCCATTTCCTTCCTATGTGCATTTTTTGGTCCCAGCGGTAGTACCGCGGTTCCCAGTGGTAGTACCGCGCAAGAGCCACAGGCGGCAGTACCGCTCTGCAGTGGTAGTACCGCATGGGGGTCCTTAGCCGTAGTACCTCTGCGGTACCGGGCTCCTACCGCCTCGACTCGAGGGGGTCGCCTCTCGTGTCGGATTGTGTGGCACTAAGCAGCGACAGTAGAAGCGGTAGTACCGGTCGTGAGCGGTAGTACCGCCCTACCACCACGATAGTACCGCACTGGGTCCGATTTTTGCCCATCTTCTTGCCCTCCCTGGCTGCACGACAGTACCACGAGGGGGAGCGGTAGTACCGCTGGGGCCAGCAATAGTACCGCTGCCCCCTGCGGTAGTACCGCCCTCTGCGGGGCTGTTTGGGGGGGGGTAACGGTTGGATTGTTTCCCCCCTCTATAAAAGAAGGTCTTCTTCTCCAAAGTTGATCTACCTCTTCCCCCAAAAGCTCCATTGTTGCTCCAAGCTCCATTTTCGCCCGATCTCTCTCCCTAGCCAATCAAACTTGCTGATTTGTTCGGGATTGGTTGAGAAGGCCCTGATCTACACTTCCACCAAGAGAAATTTGATTCCCCCCACTAATCCCTAGCGGATCTTGTTACTCTTGGGTGTTTGAGCACCCTAGACGGTTGAGGTCACCGCGGAGCCATAGTCCATTGTGGTGAAGCTTCATGGTGTCGTTGCGAGCCTCCAATTAAGTTGTGGAGATTGCCCCAACCTTGTTTGTAAAGGTCAGTCGCCGCCTTCAAGGGCACCAATAGTGGAATCACGGCATCTCGCATTGTGTGAGGGCGTGAGGAGAATACGGTGGCCCTAGTGGCTTCTTGGGGAGCATTATGCCTCCACACCGCTCCAACAGAGACGTACTTCCCTTCAAAAGGAAGGAACTTCGTTAACACATCCACGTCTTCACAGGCTCCACTCTTGGTTATCTCGTGCCTTTACTTGTGCAAACTTATTTGTGTTGTATCCCTTGCTTGCTTGTGTGCTTGTTGTTGTTGCATCATATAGGTTGCTCACCTAGTTGCATATCTAGACAACCTACTTTGATGCAAAGTTTAATTTGGATAAAAAAGCTAAAAATTGTTAGTTGCCTATTCACCCCCCCTCTAGTCAACTATATTGATCCTTTCAAAGAGGCTCACCACGGTGGTGCCGACGACGAGATCGGCGCGGGCGATCGACAACGGTGAAGGCGGGGACGGGACGTGACAGACCGCTAAACCTAGACAAATATTGAGGAAAATGGAGCTTGGAGGTCGAGCTTGGAGAGGAGAAAGCTTAAGTAGTGTGGCTCGGGCATTCCATCGAACACCTCATGTGCATAGGAGGTGAGCTAGAGCACCATAAAGCCCTCCCCTCGCCGGCCAGAAAAAACAGAGCAGTGTGGAGGGCTCTGCTCGCCGGCGAGGGGGCATATATAGGCACATCATTGGTCCCGGTTTGTGGCTTGAACCGGGACTAAAGGGCAGCCTTTGGTACCGGTTCAAGCCACCAACCGAAACCAATGATAGTGGGCCAGGAACGAGGCCCATTTGTCCCGGTTCGTCCCATCAAACGGGATTAAAGGGGCCAGACGAACCAGGACCAGTGTCCTCACGAGGCCCGGCAGGCTCCCTGACCTCATGAACCGGGACCAATGCCCCATGGATCCTGGTTCGTGATTGAATCGGGACTAATGGACTTATCTGGCTTGAACCAAAACCTTGCTTTTTACTAGTGGTAGGATCGATGAAGTGAACAAATTGTACAGAAGACTTGACAAAGCAAGTCGACTGGATCGGTAACGACACCCGCCGCGAAGCAAAGTTCACTTAGGGCCGGACAAGAACAGACGACGAGGCAGCCCGACTGGAATTAAAGACGACACACCTGCCGCAACGCGGAGGGGTCGGAGAGAGTAGGGGCGACGCCGCCGCCGAGCCGACGGCGGCTTCTGACCTAGATCGCCTGTTCTGTTTTCCTTACGTTTTCCTTGATGTTTTTTATCGGCCTGCGGAGGTTTGTCTTCACTGAGGCAGCAGGTAGCTGCCTGCATCCAACAAAAACGTGTGGGTATGCATGCATCCAGCTTGGACTGAGGCAGCAGGTTTGTTGGTGAAGGTTGTGCGTGCATTGCTACGGCGATGCTCACATGCTTTGCCTGATGGCCCCACGTATTTGGCCATTCACATCCTTTGTCTGTCCCCTCTGTAAATGCCGCATGGGCGCGCACCGTTGCCAGCCGGTGCCAATGTGGCAAAATGAGAGACATGAGCTAGTACAATCCAGACCAGCTTCGTCCGGTGGTTCCAATCAAAGTATGGCTGCACAGCACGGCTAGGCGACGGAGAAGAAGAAGCTAGCGTAGGGCTAATTTGCGCGTCACGAGGAGCAGTGGCTAGCCTCTGACAGAAGAACACTCGGCGGTCACGCATACCAAGGATCAATGATGTGGCCACTTTATATCTGCCCGCCTTCACGCACGCATGTACTATAACCATCAAGCAGTAGTGGCCCCTTCTTCCAGCTCTTCTTGGCTGCTACGGTGACACTCTCTGTGGAATAGATACACCTCGCGATGAAAATGGCGAGGGCCCTGCTTGTCGCCCTTCTTCTTGTCTCGTGCTTTGTGGCGCTTGGCCTGTCCGGCCGCGCCGATGCGGCGGCCGAGAGGAAGACCGTCGGTGTCTACGAGCTCAACAAGGGGGATTTCTCCATCAAGGTCACCAACTGGGGTGCCACCCTCATGTCCGTGATTCTCCCCGACTCGAGAGGTAATCATATGAATGACACGCTTCTTCCTTCGTTCCTTCCAAAAGGTCGTGGTTCTCGTCCGTTGCTTCTCCAAATGATCCGGGATCTCAGTCTTGTTCCCTTGCACCGTAGGAAACTTTGGGGATGTGATCCTGGGCTACGATACGGTTGCTGAATACATGGTAGGATATGATGATGCACAAAACGCCTATGTTCCTTTACTTGCAAATACAGTACATTGCACCGACGTGGTTCGATACGATTCTTCTTCTTTCGCCGCTGACAAAGTTGGTTTGCGTCTCGGCCGCGCGTGTTGTGCAGAATGGCACCGCCTACTTCGGAGGGCTGATCGGCCGCGTCGCCAACAGAATCGCCAACGCCCGGTTCACGCTGGACGGGAAAACCTACCGGCTGGTTCCCAACGACGGCAACAACACGCTGCACGGTACGTACAAGAAGAAAAATTTCCCCTCCCCTCCTCCCGCGAGCTGCCATCGATCATCTTTCTGCTCTTGTTCTCCTCTAGGTGGTCACCGGGGATTCGACAAGGTCGTGTGGACGGTGAAGGAGCATGTCGCCGGCGGCAGCTCGCCCTTCATCACTCTCTACTACCATAGCTTCGACGGAGAGCAAGGTAAGGAATTTGGAGCCCTTACCATTTTCTGATACTTTCATCGAGAGGAGATTGCACATGTGGGTTCAGTCATGAATTTAGGTCAGCCATTTTCAAATATGGACAGCTTTGTAAGAATCAGTCAAATTTTCTTAAAGAAACAAAGTTTCCAAAAAAATCTGAAAAAACTACAGCAATTCAAAACATGCTAAATGATAAATCTGGGGAATTTTCAGCCAATTTAGCCCAGCCATTTGAAATTTGGACATTTTTTTGTAATTAGTCCTGGAGTTTTGGTTTTGTATCGTGTTACCTCAGTCCCAAAAGTTGTGTAGTTGTGCAATTTCCTCTTTCATCAAATTGAGGAGCTCTTCGCTTCTCATTTTATTTCAAAACATAACCGATTTTTAACGAAGTAGCTGAACTTGAACAGGGTTTCCGGGCGACGTGGACGTGCACGTGACGTACCAACTCTCGAGCCCGCACGTGCTGAGCGTGCGCATGAACGCGACGGCACGGGGCAAGGCCACCCCAGTGAACCTGGCGCACCACGCCTACTGGAACCTCGGCGGCGACGGCAGCGGCAACGTCCTTGGCGAGGAGGTCCGCCTCTTCGCCTCCCGGTACACGCCTGTGGATGCCTCGCTCATCCCGACGGGCCGCATGGCGTCCGTGGCTGGCACACCCTACGACTTCCGCACGCCGGCCGCCGTGGGCTCGCGCATCGGCGGCCTCCTGAGCCGGGGCGTCAACGGGTACGACATCAACTACGTCGTCGACGGCAGGGGCCTGCGCCCGGTAGCGGTCGTCCGGGACGGCGCGTCCGGCAGGGCGATGGAGCTGTGGGCGGACCAGCCCGGGGTGCAGTTCTACACGGCCAACGGGCTCAGCGGGGTGAGGGGGAAGGGTGGCAAGGTCTACGGCCACTACGGCGCGCTCTGCCTGGAGACGCAGGGGTTCCCCGACGCCGTGAACCGCCCGAGCTTCCCGTCGCAGATCGTCCGGCCGGGGAAGGTGTACAAGCATGACATGGTGTTCAAGTTCTCCTTCTAGTAACTACTAGCTGGTGGTATCCAAGGTCCCGTGGTTGGTCGTTTGTCAGGCAACACAGCCACTCTTGTGTTTTGTGTACTGTGTGAATTTGATCGGCTGAGCTTCAAGGGGAGGAATAAAAGCATGTTGCTGGTTCAAGGTTTTTTCATCACGAGCTTCAAGTTTCTTTACAGCATCTTCAACACGCGCCCAGAAAAGGGCTCACTACTAAAAACTATCGTTTTTGTGTGCCGGAGATAAAAAAACAGTGCTCCAGCAGATGCTATAAAATAGAACGCGCACGAAAAACTTTAGAGCATAGGTGTGCGCGCGGGCTGTTGGGTTGCAAATTTGAGGTGCCAGATTGTGCATGCGGGCCGCTGCACGGCGGGCCGCCGGATTGGGCGCCGTGTTTGCATCTGAAAAGCCTCTTCGTCGCTCCCATGCGCAAAAGAACTATTTTGACGCTGTAAAATAATTATACCGCGTCGAGACGAAGCGCGCCTGTTGGAGGGACCTCCTATTTGGTGCATAGTGCGTTGGATACTGAGCAAACGTGCACCCTGGCGCAGGTTGGCCCACAGCATTGGGCTGGCCAACTTGCCTGATTTGCTGTTTCTTTTCCTGGCATGAATCAGACTATTAGATTGGTTTTTTCTTTTGTCTAAAAAAAGGGTCGCTTTTCAGTTCTTGGAAGAAAGACAAACTAGATGGCTCGATCACCGGCACTTGATCTCTGGGGGCCTCCTTGCTCTTGTCATCCTTGGCTGCTCCAACGGGCTCTTCCCTCTTCAGCTCGATCTTCATCAACCAAGCATCCTCTTCCACATTATTAGAGGAAGAAGAAGACATGATGCCTGGCTCAACAGATCTGGTTTGGGGTCATGGCTCCTCCCACCTCCTCTCCTCTCCTCTCCTTCCTCCCACCTGCCCTCCACCACAC